CTCTTTCCCCTTCCCTGCTTATAAAACCCTCCCATATTCTCCCCCATTTCTTCATTAATTTCTTCACACTCCTCTGTTTTCTGCTTTATATTACTTTCACCCCCAACACAACCAAAAACCCCTCTTTCAATTTTTTTTAACTTTGCTCTGTGTTTTACGCTATGATGCAACGCTGTGGCAGCTACCAATGCTACTCGGCGGGAGAGTGTTCATGTGGGGCGTTCTATGGGCAGCAGGGCAGCTACTTCTCCACGCCCGCCTACAACAATTACTATGAATCTGAACATTATTCTTTTGACTCGTCCTCTCCGGTGGATTGTACGCTCTCTCTCGGAACACCCTCGACTCGTATGACGGAGTACGACGAGAAGCGCCGTGAGGAGCAGCACTCTGCTTCTAATTTTGCCTGGGATTTGTCTCGTACCAAACATGGTCACTCCTCCAAGACCAGTCGCCGTAGTGGCAATACTGGCGGTGATAAATCCAGAGCCAATGGAGACCAAATGTTCTCCCGCCACTGCGCTAATTGCGACACCACCACCACCCCCCTCTGGCGCAATGGCCCTAGCGGTCCTAAGGTAAACAACCCAATCCACGATCTGGGTGTGGATCAAAATTGAACCTTTTCAAACTTTTGGTCTGTGAGCTAATGGATTAATGTAAATTGATTTGCAGTCGTTGTGCAATGCGTGTGGGATTAGATACAAGAAGGAAGAGAGGAAAGCGGCGAGTTCAGGGCAGCAGGCTAATTCGATGTACAAGAATGAGGCCAGCTCATGGCTTCAGCATCATTCCCACAGCCAGAAAACCCCGAGATTCCCACATGGAATTACCAATGATCTGAATCCCGGCGTCGCCTTCCTCTCATGGAGCCTCAATGACACAGAGCAGCCTCAGCTGTACTACGATTTCACAAGTTGAAATTATTATCTCTCCCAAGATTTTTTTTTTTTTTTTTTTTTTTTTTTTTTTTGTTATTAATATTTACTTTCTTTTTTATACCCTGGAGGAAAAAAAAAAAAGAAAAAAAAAAAAAAGAAAAAAGAAAGCCGCCACTATTATAGTGTTGTTGAAGGAATTTTAAAAGATGGTGATTTCATGGAAATACTGTCTCCTCTAACGAATCCACAACATCCTTTTTTGTTTTGTTTTTTTTTTTCTTTTCCTTTCAGAATTTTGTTGGCTGCTTCTTATTTTTCCATTATACGTCAATGTTTGTGAAAATCGAAATATTAAAATTATATATATATTATGTATGTAATCTCATTTCTCTCTCTTACTTTCTCTTTCTTAGTTCCCCAGTGGAATAGTACGGTGCATTGCTTATCCTCCTCAATTAGATTAATAAAAAGTTATAAAAAATTAAGTTTTAATAACCCTATTATGTTAATCAAATCTTTAAGAATTTTGTTAATCAAAATCAATAAATAATCTGAGTTAATTCAATGGACCAAACTATAAGCTTGACTATCAACCAACTCAACCAAACCTATTAATCTAAAATTTTAATAAATTTAAAATATTTTTAGGCCATAAAAATGTTGGGTTAAAATTAGGGAGTAAATTAAAGAAGGTAAAATTTACATTATTATTTAAGCTCAACGTTGTGTCTATTGAAATTTAAAGTTGAATCAAAATGATTAAAAATTGTTATTTTTCGTGAACAAAATTGAAGTAAATTAAATCATTAAAAAGTAAATTGTATAATTACAGTCAAAGCTGACGAGTTTGACCGAGTTATATCATATAATAACCTGGAAATCAAATCGTGCACCTCAAGCTTCGAGTTGCTAACGGAGGAGATGATATCATCTCAGCCAATCACAACGCGACGTCTGTACTTCACTCCACCTGAATCTCTCTTCAAAACCCAGCTTCTACACACAAATCATTTACCACCGCCGATGGCCAGAAGAACCCGCCGGAAGTTACTCTTACAGTCCGAGTCTCAAACCGAGGCCGATCCACCGTCTAAGATTTCGTTCCGAACTACAGAAATACGGAAGATTTCTTCCACTCGAAAACCGGACAAACCACAGATATCAACTGATGGCGGAGGCGACCGGACTCGAGCATTCCCGAACCAGGATGGTCCTGTCAAATCTTTATCGTCTTCGGATGTAATTTGTACAGCGATCGATCATTTACGCCGTTCGGATCCCCTTCTGATAAGGCTATTAGATTCATGCGAATCCCCCAATTTCAAGTCCAATCCACCGTTTCTAGCAATAACAAAGAGCATCCTCTACCAGCAGCTCGCTACGAAGGCCGCCGAATCGATCTACAATCGCTTCGCGTCGCTATGCGGCGGAGAGGCGGCAGTACTACCGGACGCCGTACTTGGACTCTCGCCTCAACAGCTGCGAGTAGTCGGAGTTTCGGGTAGAAAAGCAAGTTACCTTCATGACCTAGCGACCAAATTCGTAGAGGGCACTTTGTCGAATTCGTCGATTCTAGAGATGGACGACGAGACTCTACTGAGTGCGTTGACGGGGGTGAAGGGTATCGGCGTTTGGTCAGTGCACATGTTCATGATTTTTACTCTGCACCGGCCGGATGTGCTGCCGGTGGGGGATTTGGGCGTGAGAAAAGGGGTGCAGAGGTTGTACGGACTGAAAGAATTGCCAAAGCCAGTGGAGATGGAGAAACTTTGTGAAAAATGGAAGCCGTACAGGTCGATGGGGGCTTGGTATATGTGGAGGCTGATGGAAATGAAGGGAATCGCGAAGAATGATGGCGATTTGAAGAAGAACACGGCAAACGGCGGCGGCGGCGACGTTGTAATGTGAATTTGGGTGAATCGTTTAAGTTTCAGGGCTAATTTGTGTGTCTGCTTCCTTTCCAAGAATATTTCATCTCTGCAGTTTTTGAATTAAAAAAAAAATTATAAGAACAGATCCATCTTTATTGGATTATGCTGAACCCTTGTTTTGTGTCTCCATCTGTCGGCCCATCTAGATTTTGAGCCCAAAATGAGAAATATCCATAATCCAAGATGACGGCCCATAAGAATCCCTTATTGGGCCCGATTACAGTTTATTAGGGCGTCGGTTGGGCTTTCATTGGATGTTATTTTGTCGGGAAGGGAGAGAGAGAAGAAGAAGAGCCCAATAATTGGTACCGATTCTCTGCTTCTCACGGACTTCATACATTTCTAATTCACTTCCAATTTTCGAAATTTTTGAAATTTCGGAAAATGAAATAATATTAAAAAGAGAAAAAATGAACCAATTTTTGAAATATGTGAAAATGAGTGGGATGGGAGCCGTGTTGGGAAATGGAGTTGGAAATGACTGGACTTTTGCCACGTAATCACTTCATTTTATTATTGATTATTTTTATATTGGGAATTGTTCTCTGCCGCGAAGGAAGCTACCAATTATTAATTAAATAATAACTAATAATAGATAAATAATAATTAAAAAAAAATCACTTAATACCGTCTTTGATTCTACCATTTTTTAAAATCAATTTTCAACTATAAACTTTTAATTTTATTTATTTGATTCAAACCACAAATTTGATTAAATGTTTAATTCAAAGCTATGCAAACTTTCTTGTTTTTCTATTTAATTATAAGAAAATCTAAATTAGGAGTGCCCTTGTAAAAAAACAAGAATCAGACACTCAAAAAGTGTATGGAAAAATAAATGGTCTCTCAATGATAAGGAGGCTTATCTCGATTAAAGTGCATTTGAAAATTTAAAAAGAGCGGTGATGATGCCCATAAATACAGTGAGCTAGTAGCTACTTTGTTAGAGATTCCAAATTAGACGCAAACAATAAAGGCAACGAGAAAAACCTATAATACCTTTCACACTCACACTCCATCTTAATTATGATCATTGTTTCAATAAATTATTGCTCACTTAGCAAGATAAATCGAGAAAGTTTGCACATAAAAGAAAACACTAAATTATATTACCTCTAATTTCTTCCGTATGAATGTTATAAGAAATGCGACCAAACTAAAGCACTCAAAATTGGCCTGCTACCCATTTAGACATTGAATAAGGAAACAATTTCTTCTTTCGATATCCACCAAATGACCCAAAACTTGGCGATTGATATAAATGGCAAATAGCAAAAGCTTTTGTTAGACGATGAGTAGAGTGGAGGAAGCATAAACACTGCGACAGCAAAAGCCACAGCCTTAAACGCTACATAAGTTGTTCTTAGTTGATCCAATGGCATAATCAAATGGAACAATTTTCTTATCATGCTTCGATTTTTGTTCTTAAACTTGTCGAGGAAATCGCCTTTTCATAGCCTCTTCTTACCAATGTACTTTTTTCTGTAACATTGGTAGCTTTAAACCAATTTTGAAAGTGAAAATTTTGTAACTATCACGATAATCGTGCAGTTGAATGAATAGTTATGAGAGTTTGGTTATTTGGATGAAAAGAAATGCAAGATTTGATTGCGAGAGAGTTGCATGATATTGTTTTCAATTGAATTGATAGATTGTGCTATTTTCTTATAGTCATTGATGACGGTTTTGAAGCATTATCATCTGGTTATTAGACATGGTACATAATCGTCTTGCATTTAAAAAAGACGAAGATTCAATGTCATGACATCGTAGCTAATTGTAAAGCCTGATATTTTATGGTGATTTAAAGTGCAATTATTACGCAACCATCATGATATGGCATGATGACACTTAAAAAAGAATGTGTGTCTGAAAACCATCATCATACGCATAGAATGAGATGACAATAAGGTTATGGTGGAAAAAGATAGGAAGATCTGGCAACCAAGTTTAATGTCTAGTCAGAAAACCATCTTGTTTTTCTACTTCGGTTCTTGTCTTTAGTCCCTCGCTTTATGGCTGTCTTGTATATTTTTAAGACATTCATTAGGGGAGTGGGTTTAGGGTTTTCAGAAAAAGGCAATTATTAGAAACAGGACCAAAAAAAAACACCCTTTCTTTTCCCCTTCCTCCGCCCTTCTCACTGCCCTCCCCAAGTATATCAAGGTAAGATTTCGCTGCGTGGTTCTTCAGACATCCTCGGTATTGAATTACCAATGAAGGGATACTATTATCCATTGCACCTTGAACTGATGTTCTTGAGATTGATTGCACCTTGAACTGATGTTCTTGAGATTGATCTGCCGCAGAAGGCTGCGCAACAGTTTGGTTGAAGATTTCCCATTTGATGGATTATTATAGCACAAATGGGAATTAGGAGTTCCTATTTCCTCGTCTTCACCTCTTATCTCCACTTGATCCGATCTCCCACAAAAGGTAATCAATCTTACTCATTTAACCTTGGACATTCATTTGGATCTTCCACGAATGACTATTCTATTCCTGAGCTTCCTTTGATCAGGATCTTAACTAGCTAATGAACATAGCTAATGAACTCCCAAGACTCGTTTCATAATATCTTGTGTCTTTTTTGCGTCCTCCGTCTCTCCCCCAAGTGCTCAAACTGTTCGGTAACAGGAAATAAATGGATTAATGGGGGCACGGAAAGACAAAAAAGGACAAATTTTCAACATCTATGACAGCATAATCTTTGAATATCGAATAGAGAGAGGGACCTACCAGGTAAATGAGCAAGATCAAGATCGGATCAAGAGGTGAAGACGGGAAATAGGAACTCCTAATTCTCAACCAAACTGCCGCCTAATTCTGATCATCCGATTCTTCTGATAAGAGCTGTCGATAGAAGAAAAGATCACACCGTACCCCAGCTCCATTTCTCATTTGCTGCGTACCCTAGCTCCATTTCTCATTTGCTGCTACTCCGCCATCCACAACCTGAAGCAGAACAATCTCAAGAACATCAGTTCAAGGTGCAATGGACAATAGTATTCCTTTATCGGTAATTCGATACCGAGAATGTCTGAAGAATCACGCAGCAAGTACTGGAGGCTACGTTCTAGACGGCTGCGGCGAGTTCATGCCAAATGGAGAGGATGGAACTCCTGAGGCCTCTAAGTGTGCAGCATGTGAATGCCATCGGAACTTTCACCGAAAAGAGATGAGAGACGAGCTGCTCTCACAGCAAGCTTTCCTCGGTGCTTTCTTCATCTCCAAATCGGTCAGAAACAATGGCCATCGCAGTGATGGGCCTCGTCACCATCATTTACCGGCAGTTCCAATTTCTTCGATGATGATGGCATTTGGAGGAGGAAGCAATGGAGCTCCGGATGAGTCTTCCAGTGAGGGCCTGAATATGTATTATCCGTCTGATAATGGAGCCCGGGAGCTGTTCTGTCAGCAGACACAACTGATGAAGAAACGATTCAGGACAAAGTTCACACAGGAACAGAAGGAGAAGATGGTAGAATTTGCTGAAAAGTTGGGGTGGAAGATTCAGAAACATGATGAACTAGAAGTGCAGCAGTTCTGCGATGAGGTGGGCGTAAGGAGGCAAGTTTTCAAGGTTTGGATGCACAACAAAAAACAAGCCATGAAGAAGAAACACATGTAAGAACGTAATACAAGTTTTACTACAAACCCATTTCGTGAAATAATGCATCCATGGTTGTGCACAGTCCTAATTAGGCTTTGAAAGAGTGAAGAGAGTTAATATTCGGTTGTTGAATGAATATATCTCAATACCAATTTGTCATGTTACTTCACATCTAACCTGAATGATTCAAGCATTAATGTTATAAAAAACAAACCTGAAACTGTCACCGGAGAAGTAGTGGGGAGTAGACTGTTAGATTCAAAACTATCAATATCTTTCACTTCTTCCGTACGAGATTTTTTTGTGGCTGGACTGCACAGACAGACTGATGTTATGATTTTTTTGTCATCATCCAGAAGCTACAAACTTACTTAACACTGAAAAGAATGGCGGAGCGGAAATAAAAAAACCCTCAAGCACCATGAAAGTGTGTCTTCTTCATAATACCAAAACAACACGAATCATATTTCTAACCGGAGATCTAATTAAAATTTTCTGGAATTGGGGGATGTAAACCTTTGAAATTATGTCCTTATTTATAATGAAATTTCAGAAATTAAATATGTTCATATATATATATATATATTATTTTTTTCTTTTCAGGGCTATAGATTGCTATCTATTGTAAAATAAATCAAAATCTATATATGCTATATAGCTTATCCTTCATGCTTATACAATTTCTAAATCTTAACAAATCAACTCTTCAACATTGGACATTAACATATGCCCTCAAATTTATTTGGTGCACGTTTGAGGAAAAAGATACGCTCATCTATCTTTAATGTTAATGCAATTCAAGGATACAATGTAATGACCCAAGCTCACACTTCCCTTGGAGGTTTTTAAACTCCACACTTTTATAAGGTTTCTACACCCTTATAAAGAATGTTTCGTTTTCCTACGTAGGATCTTACATACAGTGTCCTCGCATGTCTTATGCGCGCTGTGTTCTTCAACACAATAATAATAATCATAATTGTGTAGATGAAAATTTAATCCTATAACAAATTTATTGAGAATTAAAGGGAAGAACAGTAACCTTTTTCGTAAATTACATCAATAAATTGTCTGAAGCGATCTGCAGAAGATTAGCTTTTGACTGTTCTCCACCTATGGCGATGCTCCATTCTAGTTCGCTACAAAACCGAAGAGCTGTGTTCTTCAAGCTATAGAATGGGGGAAAATAAAAGTTTCATCAGCCCAACATAACCATCAGTCAGATTCAAGGTTGTAAACAAAACAAGCGTCACAAAATACCTTAGAATTACAAATAACTGAGGGAAAGAAAGCTTACTTGAAACATGAAGTCGGCTTAATACAATGACGCCCCCATCTATTTTCCATTCGATTTCCGGCTCATCTGCTACTTGGATTATTATAAGCATGAAAGAAAGTGGGCAGTTCGTGAAATCTGGGGGTTGGCTTCAAATAATGGAAGGTACTTCAACTTTACCCTGCGGGCGACTACTGACAGGCAACCATAATGCATCTTTAGCTTTATTACAAGTCATTTGACCTTTTGGGTGAACACTTGTACGAGTTAAATGTCTTTTCAAAAGAAGTTCAGACCACCGGCAGCAGCGCCGCAGCACTTGCAACTTTTTCGACTGTTCGCACTGCGGTGGCAGTGCCCTCAGCTTTATCCACCGCCACCGTAAAACGGGCCCTCTCCAGTCTGCTTTCAAATACATCGGAAAGCGACAAAAGTAAAAGATATATATCCCCAACGGGCAGCGGAATAAAAAAATAGTAATAATATATAAAACTACAAGAAGCAACGGAAATTCCCATTTTCTTGTTAACGAACATGAACTTTTTCTGCAGGAAGAATCAAACTAATCGTTAATCGTTACTTCCATTTCTAATCTAAAAGAATTTATTGATTGAAGAAGTAATAATCACTTTCCAAGATTTCTCAAAAGAATAAATAACTAATCTCAAATTATCGTAAACAAGGCTTGAACAATACTACGATTGAAGGATTTATAACAAGAATAGCCAAGTAATTTCCATAGGGCTATGATCGTGCGCTAAAATGTACTGCATTAATTAGTCATGATATTCTTTAAACCACACGCTCAAATCGAAGGGCGCCTTTTTTCCTTTTGGTGCTAAAATGGCTCGAGAATTCAAGCAGCACGAACTGCACAAAAACTTCCGATCTACGCTTAAATCATAATGCGTTTACCTTCATACAAGAAGAACCGAAGGAGATTTTCGAGAATTGACGAAGAATTTCGCGAGAAGCTGGATTAGAACAAATGCTTACGTTTCTCTTTGAGAACGATCGTGCATGGCCGTCATCTGCATGTCTCGGCTTCTACGACAGCAATGCTCTTGTTCCTCTAATGTCTGCAGCGGCGACGGCTCTTCTCTCGCCGCTCCGCCACCGCTCATGACGACGTCGCATACTACCGGAACCATTCATGATAGATAATCTCACGAAGAAGAAACAAAATCTTTTAGAGGCAACGGTGAATTTTAAAGCACTAACCGTATCACTCGTTGGTTTCAATTTCTGTTTGGGAGAGAGCAAAAGGGCAAAAGGAAAGAAAAATGAAAGGAAGTTTCAAACTAAAAGGAAAAAAAGCGTGGCAAATGCTTGAAACCATGGAAGACGGGGACTGGGCCACCAGATCGACGCGTGTCGCCGCACACGCAGCAACCTCCTTCCACCGTCACTGTTGGTTCCTCCACGATAGCAAAGACGGTCCATTATCAAAAACTTAAATAAAATGAAAAGCAAGTCCGCCGACGATATCATAGTAGCCGTCAGATCACCGGATCCGCCACCGCCGACAAGATGCTCCGATGAAACGCAAGAGTTTTCGTGCTTTGTCTGCATTAGGTTCAGTCTAGTTTAGGAACTCACTGAACTGAATTGTGTACGAGTGAAAATTGGTGTTCAATCTCCGAGTATGAACAGCAGGTGAAAAAGATGTCGCAACTCGCAAAAATCTATTAATAGTCGGGTAGCTTCGATGATTCTTTGGATAAATAAGAATCTTTATTGTCGTAGGAAATTTATAAATGGAATCTACCTTCGATGGCCTTTGGGCCTGGATTTGACCCAAATTCCAAAATTTGAGTTTTTAACCCTTGAACTCAGGGTGAATGAATATTTTAACTACAGAGTTGTAATGGTCGTAACCAACGAAAATAATGGGCTGAAACATGAGGTAAAAAGTTGGCCCTGTCAACACTGTAACACAAAATTAAATCTCTTCCCTGAAAACGATATTACAATAAACGGATTCCTCAACTAAGCTGGGCGACCCCCTTCAGCAGCTAGCTTTAATCTTTGGTGATGCTCAGTTACCTTATAATCAACGATCTCCTTTAACAATGTGGAGTCCAAAACACAGTCTGGCCGCCCGTAAACAGCTGCCTGAACGCCCGCCATGAGCTTTGCAATCTCACGGCCTGAGAACCCTTCAGTTTTTCGGGCTGCGTCTCGGAGCACATTGTCGGTGATGTCTCGTATGATTATTTGTTGGGGGCTTTTCTTGAATGAGAAACCTTGCTTGGATGTGTCCTCATTTTGATTGCTTAGGTACTTGTTTAGATAAAGCTTCAGCAGATTGAAGCGCTCTTCCTCACCAGGGAGTGGGAACTCAATCACTTCATCCATTCGGTCGGTCACAGCACTGTCGAGATCGCCTGGTCTGTTTGTTGCAAGTACAAGAACTATATCTCTCGACTGATCACCAGTTCGGAATAGCAATGCGTTTAGAGCACTTCGCTGAGCTTCACTCATCCTTGTACTGTTGCGCCTGCATTGAGAACAAACCAAGTTTTGTAAAATGGCACTGGAAGATTCCGTTATAAACATGCTATCCAAGGCACACCCTTACATTTCAGCTAAAAATGAACTTTCATGCTAATAATCCAACATTAAGGGAACTTGGAACAAAAAGCTCAAAGAAGAACTTAACAGAGAATCACATGATGAATTTTACGTGGTGCTTTTTCGTTTTCGTTGTGCAGTGTGGGGGTAGAGGTGGGGGACTTACTCGCAGAGAAAAGCATCCGCCTCGTCGATGAAAAGCAATAGGCCTTTCCTAGAATTTTTAGCCCAGTCAAATATTTGGTGTATTTTAGTAACGGCTTGTGGGCCCAAAGGTGCAACATCTCCACCAGTCATCATGGCATAATCCAAACCCTGCGTAAACAAAAGGAACTAGAGAGATCAAAACAAGCAACGTGATAGTGGCGTTGAACCGACTGATTCTCATCATTTCATGGCACTAAGAGTGTCTGAACTAAATCTTCTGTGCTGAATGATATCATATCAGTACTCTAAAACTATCTAGGAGAAGCATATTCTATCCAGTCAATAATCTGCAACAAGTCAACGAACTGTTCAAAGTTTCCATTCATAGAACATGAAAGAAAATCAACGCCTAAAACAAGTGCAAAGAATCAGGGGTACGGTGCCTAAAACATGTGCAAAGAATCAGGGTATTGGTTAACAGCTTACCGATTTTCGAGCAATCTCTTTTGCAACCATAGTTTTACCGGTCCCAGGAGGTCCATAAAATAGCATATTACGGAAGGGTGCCTCATGAGCTTTGGTGTTTGCAGTAGCTCTAGCAAGTTGTTCAATTCTCCTTTTCAGTGAAGGATGGAGGACAATATTCCCAAGACTATTTTTATTTTCAGCGAGAGCTGCAGCCCCAGCTCCCGTAGAAAATGCAGCAGCTTTGTTCTTTACCCAGGGTATTATCTTGGAACCTGGAAATCTCGTAACAGAGGATTCTCTAATCAGTGACGGTTGCCCCAATAACCTATTGACATAACCCCAGACAACTCTAGCACCTTCCCTGTAAACCAGGTGGGAAAAAATGGAGAATGATTAGATAGCAGATTGAGCTTAAAATCAGGGAGGTATAAAGACTAAAAATCACAGATTTGTATGTGGGTCATGAGTATATGGTACCAATCTTGCAGGATCGGTGGTGACATTTTCACTTTGACACCTCTCTCTCTAGTGAAAGAAGGGGTTTAGAAAGTTCGTCAAGTAATTAGCAGATCAATATCAAGTTGAGGCTCGTGAACGTGAAGAAACTAAACTTTAAATGCAAGTATTCTTAGTTTTACCTAACTATAAGGTATAATGTCTAATTAGTTCGTGAAACTATCACCTGGTAGTGTAAACTCC